ATTCTATATTGTTTATTTCTGCTCTGATCTTTATTATTTCTCTTCTTCTGCTGGGTTTAGGCTGCCTTTGCTGTTCTGCTTCTATTTCCTTTAGGTGTGCTGTTACATTTTGTATTTGGGATTTTTCTTGTTTCTTGAGATAGGCCTGGATTGCGATGTATTTTCCTCTCAGGACTGCCTTTGCTGCATCCCAAAGCGTTTGGATTGTTGTATTTTCATTTTCATTTGTTTTAATATATTTTTTAATTTCTTCTCTAAGTGCCTGGTTGACCCACTCATTCTTTACTAGGGTGTTCTTTAACATCCATGTTTTGGAGGTTTTCCAGACTTTTTCCTGTGGTTGATTTCAAGCTTCGTAGCATTGTGGTCTGAAAGTATGCATGGTATAATTTCAATTCTTGTATACTTATGAAGGGCTGTTTTGTGACCCTGTATATGATCTATCTTGGAGAATGTTCCATGTGCACTCGAGAAGAAAGTATACTCTGTTGCTTTGGGATGCAGAGTTCTAAATATATCTGTCAAGCCCATCTTATCCAATGTATCATTTAGGGCCCTTGTTTTTTTATTGACCATGTGTCTAGATGATCTATGCATTTCTGTGAGTGTAGTGTTAAAGTCCCCTGTATTACCACATTCTTATCAATAAGGTTGCTTATGTTTATGAGTAATTGTTTTATATATTTGGGCGCTCCGGTATTCGGCACATAGACATTTATAATTGTTAGCTCTTCCTGATGTAAAGACCCTGTAATTATTATATAATGCCCTTCTTCATGTCTTGTTACAACCTTTAATTTAAAGTCTAGCTTTGTCTGATATAAGTATGGCTACTCCAGCTTTCTTTTGGCTTCCAGTAGCATGATAAATAGTTCTCCATCCCCTCACTCTCAATCTAAAGGTGTCCTCAGATCTAAAATGAGTCTCTTGTAGACAGCAAATAGATGGGTCTTTTTTTTTTTTATCCATTCTGATACCCTATGTCTTTTGGTTGGTACATTTAATCCATTTACATTCAGTGTTATTATAGAAAGATACGGGTTAGGGTCATTGTAATGTCTGTATGATTTGTGCTTGTAGTGATGTCTCTGGTACTTTGTTTCACAGGATCCCCCTTAGGATCTCTCGTAGGGCTGGTTTAGTGGTGGCAAATTCCTTCAGTTTTTGTTTGTTTGGGAAGACCTTTATCTCTCCTTCTATTCTAAATGACAGTCTTGCTGGATAAAGGATTCTCGGCTGCATATTTTTTCTGTTCAGCACATTGAAGATCTTGTGCCAATCCTTTCTGGCCTGCCAAGTTTCTTTCTTTTTTTTTCAACGTTTTTTATTTATTTTTGGGACAGAGAGAGACACAACATGAACGGGGGAGGGGCAGAGAGAGAGGGAGACACAGAATTGGAAACAGGTTCCAGGCTCTGAGCCATCAGCCCAGAGCCCGATGCGGGGCTTGAACTCACGGACCGCGTGATCGTGACCTGGCTGAAGTCGGACGCTTAACCGACTGCACCACCCAGGCGCCCCTGGCCTGCCAAGTTTCAAAAGAGAGATCAGTCACAAGTCTTATAGGTCTCCCTTTATATGATAGGGCACGTTTATCCCTTGCTGCTTCAGAATTTTCTCTTTATCCTTATGTTTTGCCAGTTTCACTATTTTATGTTCGTGCAGAAGATCGATTCAAGTTACGTCTGAAGGGAGTTCTCTGTGCCTCTTGGATTTCAATGCCTTTTTCCTTCCCCAGTTCAGGGAAGTTCTCAGCTATTATTTCTTCAAGTACACCTTCAGCACCTTTCCCTCTCTCTTCCTCCTCTGGGATACCAATTATGCGTATATTATTTCTTTTTAGTGTATCACTTAGTTCTCTAATTTTCCCCTCATACTCCTGGATTTTTTTTATCTCTCTTTCTCTCGCTTCCTATTTTTCCATAACTTTATCTTCTAGTTCACCTATTCTCTCCTCTGCCTCTTCAATCCGAGCCGTGGTGGTTTCCATTTTGTTATGCATTTCGTTTAAAGCGTTTTTCAGCTCCTCGTGACTGTTCCTTAGTCCCTTGATCTCTGTAGCAAGAGATTCTCTGCTGTCCTCTATACTGTTTTCAAGCCCAGCAGTTAATTTTATGACTATTATTCTAAATTCACTTTCTGTTATATTATTTAAATCCTTTTTGATCAGTTCATTAGCTCTTATTTCCTGGAGATTCTTCTGAGGGGAATTCTTCCATTTGGTCATTTTGGATAGTCCCTGGAGTGGTATGGAGGACCTGCAGGGCACTTCCCCTGTGCTGTGCTGTGTAACTGGAGTTGGTGGGCGGAGCCGCAGTCAGACCTGATGTCTGCCTCCAGCCCGCCACTGGGGCCAAAGTCCGACTGGTGTGTGCCTTCTCTTTCCCTCTCCTAGGGGCGGGATTCACTGTGGGGTGGCGTGGCCCGTCTGGGCTGTTTGCACACTGCCAGGCTTGTGGTGCTGGGGATCTGGCGTATTAGCTGGGGTGGGAGGGGCAGGCTTAGTTTGCTTCTCCTTAGGTGATCCACTTCAGGAGGGGCCCTGTGGCAGTGGGAGGGAGTCAGACCCGCTGCTGGAGGGGTGGCTCCGCAGAAGCACAGCGTTGGGTGTTTGTGCAGGGCAAGCAAGTTACCTGGCAGGAACTGGGTCCCTTTGGAATTTTGGCTGGGGGATGGGTGAGGGAGATGGTGCTGGCAAGCGCCTTTGTTACCTGCCAAACAGCTCTGTTGTCCCGGGGCTCAGAAACTCTCCCTCCCTTTGTTCTCCAGTCTTCCTGCTTTCCGAGCAGAGCTGTTAACTTAAGACCTCCCAGATGCTAAGTCGCGCTTGCTGTCTGAACACACTCCATCCAGCCCCTCCACTTTTGCAAGCCAGACTGGGGGCTCTGCTTGACCGCAGGCTGCCCCTCCGCCCAGGCTCCCTCCCACCAGTCCGTGGAGCGTGCACTGCCTCGCTGCCCTTCCCACCCTCTTCCGTGGGCCTCTCTCTGCGCTTGGCTCTGGAGACTCCGTTCTGCTAGTCTTCTGGTGGTTTTCTGGGTCAGTTAGCAGGTGTAGGTGGAATCTAAGTGATCAGCAGCAGGCGCGGTGAGCCCAGCGTCCTCCTACACCGCCATCTTCCTGAACCCCCCTTTTTTAAATTTTTTAAAAAATATTTACTTATTTTTGAGAGAGAGAGTGTGAGCAGGGGAGGAGCAGAGAGGGGAAGACACAGAATTCAAAGCAGGCTCCAGGCTGAGGTCTCCAGCACAGAGCCTGACCTGGGGCCTGAACTCACGAACTATGAGATCATGACCTGAGTCCAAGGCAGATGCTTAACTGACTGAGCCACCTAGGCACTAAAATTGAGGGACATTTTAGCAAATAATCAGCCTAAAATCATAAACCCTTTCAAGGTCATGAAATTCAACAACAAATGTGGATAACAAATGTAGATATGGAGAAGTAAATGCAATGGTTGATTCTGAACTGGATCCTTTTGCTATAAAGTGCCAATATTGTGAAGAAGGAGAAATTTGAATGGAATCTGAGGATTATGTAATAGTAATGTACCACTATTTCCTGATATTGAAGGGTCTGCTTAAGGAGAATTCATTTCTATGCAAGAATTATACATTAAAATACTTAGAGTTATTAACATTGTTTTTGGCAATTATTCTTAACTGTTTTCAGGAAACAAAATTTATTCTTTGAACTGTATTATATTATTTATCTAAGATTTAGATTATTACAAAATTAAAGAAAAGTCCATTAAGTAGTACACTTAGAAATGTACAAATATAAAATAAAACAGAATCTAGGGCTTGTAGATTTTATATACTTAATGTTGATATATTTTGGGGCGCCTGGGTGGCGCAGTCGGTTAAGCGTCCGACTTCAGCCAGGTCACGATCTCGCGGTCCATGAGTTCGAGCCCCGCGTCGGGCTCTGGGCTGATGGCTCAGAGCCTGGAGCCTGTTTCCGATTCTGTGTCTCCCTCCCTCTCTCTCTGCCCCTCCCCCGTTCATGCTCTGTGTCTCTCTGTCCCCAAAATAAATAAACGTTGAAAAAAAAATGTTGATATATTTTAATTGATTGATTTTGATACCAAAGAATAAATAACCTTGATTTTTCATTAGCATAATCAACCATTTTTTATTCCTTCAGTTTACGTAAATTTCCTAGTACATTTCATTTTTATAAGTAATTATGACTTATGTTGACAATAAAAGTAAAAATAAGATATTCTTAAAGAGAGCTTTTTGTGTGTGAAGCACTGTAAAGTGTTTTAATATATTTGAACTCATGTCTTTTTAACTTCCTTTATGTGGTAGATGTCTATTATATGGAATTATAATAAAAATGGACTCACTGCTTTTATTTACGGTTTGTATTAAAAATAAGAGCACATGAAACCAATATGATACTGTATGTTAAGTAACTGGTATTTAAATAAAAACTTAAGGAAAATGGTATTTTCCCCTCCTTGGCTCCCCAGTAAGTGAAATGTAGAATTCATAGTACTCTGTTGAGGAGGGTTTCTTTAAAACTGACTTTATTCCATTTGTCTGAAGAATATAATTTATTTTTAGGCGTTCCCATGGTGTGAAGTTTTTTAGCAGTTGCAGCATGAATGAATTTAACCGAATGGTTTCACAGCCTGAATTTGAATGTCTTCAGAGTCAAATAGTTTCAGAATTGTCTTACCAAAATAAAAATACACTCTGTGGCAATGGTATTTTGGAACCGCCTGAGGAATGTGACTGTGGTCGTTCACAGGTTAGTGACAAACATGAATTGCTTATCTAAAGATTTTTCTTTGGGGGAGCCTGGGTGGCTCAGTCGGTTATGCGCCTAACTGTGGCTCTGGGTCATGGTTTTGTGGTTTGTGGGTTCGGGCCATGTTGGGCTCTGTGCTGGCAGCTCTCCGAGCCTGGAGCCTGCTTTGGATTCTGTGTCTTGCTGTCTCCCTCTTCCCCTCCCCTGATCGTGCTGTCTGTCTGTCTGTCTGTCTGTCTCTCAAAAATAAATAAACATTAATTTTTTTAAAATAAAGATTTTTCTTTGTGTTTCTTGTGTAGACTTATAGATGTGATATAAAAAAGAAAGATTTTTTTTTTCTCAAAAGCTCCACCATTTATCAGATATCTAAGGGAGATATGGGGCATGTGATAACTGACTCATCTTGAAATTAAAGCATTTGAAGAGTTTAAGTAGCAGGTAAGTGTAGCATGGATTAAAGAGGTAGATTTTCAGGGTGCCTGGATGGCTAAGTTGGTTAAACTGCCATTTGGCTCAGGTCATGAAATTCGCACAGTTGGTGGTTTCGACCCCGGCATTGGACTCTGCTGACAGCTAGAGCCTAGAGCCTGCTTTGGATTCTGTGTCTCTGCCTCTCTCTGCGCCTCCCCTGCTCACGCTCTGTCTCTCTCTCAAAAATAAATAAACATTAAAAAATTTAAAAAAAAAACAGAGGAGGTAGAGTTTCTTCATTGTGTAACCATTAATGGTAATATCTACCTTTCTGTATCACAATGTTAACAACAGTTCTATAATTATCACCTCAATCATCTCTCCTGAATTCCTCCAAAGTGACTGCATTGGTTCACTAAGTTATTAAATGTGTGTTGTTGTTTACCTCCTCATCTCCTAATTGCTGTTCCTGCATTTGTGAGATCTTCATTTATTTTAACTTCTGACTTCACAGAATTTAATTAATAATGTCTTGATGTGTTGTTCTATTTAGCTTTTTGCTATTTTTTTTTAGTTGTGCTTGGTAAGATAAGTAATCATTGAATTTTGTTGTGACTGCTTTCATATACTTATAAATGGAGATAATTTTGAATATTTCACATTTGGTTGAGAAGATGTAAACTAACTGGAACAAAATTCTGTATACTTGATTGCATTATAATTTTTAAGTGAATGTCTCACATCTGCATTTTTATTGGTTTTGTTTGCCTGAATTCTCAGTACTTAAGAAATAATGTTGGTACCTTCAACTGTAGAGTTGGATTTGCCTAATTCTCACTATAATTTACTTAATGCATGCTTTATATATTTTGTAGCTTTTTATATGGTGCAAACATATTTACAATTTTTATATCTTCCTAGAAATTTAACATTTTGCCTTTAAATAAATACTGAATCTGTTTATCTCTCATGTTTCTTTTGGTTTTAAAGTCTATCTGGTCTGGCATACATCTGTATCTGTACACATGATAACTTTCTTTAATTGGTATTTCCCTGATAATTTTCTATTTACATTTAGTTTTTCTGTACTATTAAGTTCAATATCTATGTTTGGTTTTAATTTATTATTCACTCTGTCTTTGATTTATAAGATTATCCCCTTAAACATGATTATTACTTTTTGAGTATTGTTTTAATTAACTAAAGTCCATAATTTGTTCATATTTCCTTTGTTTTTACCTAATGGCATCTTTCTGTCCCAGAATCTCCTCCAGGATACCTCACTACATGTAGCTATTATTACTTCTTACATATTATTTATAACTTTACTTGTCTCAAAATGTTTATGTTTTCTGTGTTCACTTTGCCACATTTGTTTTTCAGTTGAATTTTTATTATTTCTTTTGGTCTATGTGTTTTGTTTTTCTTTCTTCCACTATTTCTTCTAGTGATTCAGTGGATATATATTTTCAATTTCCCTTTAGTGATTATATTTGCATTTTTAACCATATATGTGTAATGTTTAACCATATCTAGACCACATTACCCCAAAATAATAGGATTTACAACTGTTAGAAAAAGCTCACTGACCCAGTCAAAAGAGGGACACTGGAAACTTGGAGCACAGTAAGGCGAGGCTTTAATCAATGTTCTTGCAAGAGCGGGTGTCTGATGGACAGGCACACTCAGAGCAGTTACAGCAGACAATTTATCTGCTAGCATGCATGTCCCTCCCCTGGCTCCTCATTGGCTGAGTACTACAGAGATTACAGCCTTACCTGGATGTCCCTATGCCCACGTAAGGCAAAAAGTAGTCTGATTGGAACAAATGTACATTCCCTGAGGTGATAGAGACTTTCCATCTCTCCTTTTTCCTTTGGTGCATGCTCATTGCAGAGTCTGAAAAGAAATAAGCCAGCGAAATGGAGAATGGAAGAACCAGGAAGTGAGGTGTCTGAAGTTTTGGGACTCCATTATGGTGTGTGTGTGTGTGTGTGTGTGTGTGTGTGTGTGTGTGTGTCGGGGGAGGGGAGGGGGTTCATATATATTTCTAATAGGTTAAACCTACTGTTAACTAGTCAGCACAGCTTTTATTTGGCATTTCTGAAAATGAATCATCTCACTTCCCACAACAACCCAATAACTTACATGACATTTTTACAAAATATTTAATTTGTCATCTTTATTACTCCAGAGATTGTATTCAGAAAACAGTTGCTTTATTTACCCTACCAGTCCTTTTATTTATTAAGGGTTTTTTTGCATGTGAAAGTTTGTTTCTGAAATAATGTCCTTTTGAATTATATCCTATTCCTTAAAATATACTTTAGGACTGTTCTCTTGATAGGACAATTCACTGCCCACTTTTGTTTATCAAAAAAAATTATGTCATACTCACCATTTCATTTTGTCACTTGGCCTTTTACTCAATATTACACTTGCAAAGGTCATCTGTTTTTGAATATAGCTTAGTCCAATTGTTTTCATTGCTTTTAGTATTTTATTGATATTATAGTTTGTTCTATGTCAATGAAAATGTAAGTTTATTTCAATTTTTTACTATTAAGATTCATGCAGTTGTTTCTTTCCTGGCACATGTCTTCTGCTGCACATGTGCCTGCATTGTTCTAGGCTATGCATCAGTAGGTGAATGTGCTATGTCCTGAGCTATTTATATGTATATTTCTTTGAATTGAGGGTATCTGACTTTGGGTTTTATTCTTGAGTGGTCTGTGCATATCTTTCATACAGTTTTTGGTTATTTCATCAGCATTCACTTCTGTAAATTATCAGCAATTTATCATCAATGTGGTAGAAGGCTCAGAGGTACACTGTTTCTCCAGTAAACTACATTTTCTGGGCATGAGATGAGTCTTGTTGGCAAGACCCCCGTGATCAAGTGGTTCAGGTGAAGCAGTAGGTGGGCTGGTGATATCTGTTTCTTATGGGTGAACAGCTTCTTGTTTGTGGAGTTTACCAGTGTCAGGGGTCAGTCTGTTTTTAGTGGAACTTTTGGGGATTTTCCCACCCAATCAGATTGTATTGTTGTTACATTGGATTATTTCATAAAGAACTTTTAATGGGAATATCAGAATCATACATTTTCTTTACATTACTATGGGATAAAGTTCTTTGGTTCCAATATGCCAGTGAATATCAAAGGAAATTCAGGGCCAGTGGATGAAATCCGCTGTGTACTGGTCTGAGATGCCTGCAATTGCATGGGGTCCTAATCAGACATAGTGCTCAAGGGCTCTTCTCCCCTACCCCCCATTATCCTTGATTGCCTTCTGTGATCTTGTTGTTGAACTCCACCTACCCCAACGAAACTTAGCTGCTTTTTTTGGTGACTTATTTACTAGCATATCAAGAATATTATTTGGGGGGCGCCTGGGTGGCTCAGCCGGTTAAGGGTCCTACTTCAGCTCAGGTCATGATCTCACAGTTCGTGGGCTCGAGCCCCACGTCAGATTCTGTGCTGACAGCTCAGAGCCTGGAGCCTGCCTCGGTTTCTGTGTTTCCCTCTCTCTTTCTACCCCTCTCCCACTTGTGCTCTATCTCTTAAAAATAAATAAATGTTAAAAAAAAATTAAAAAAGAATATTATTTGGATTATAAAGTCTATCTGTAGTCATATATGTTTAAATATTAAATATCATACAGCACACACACAAAATAGTTTTTCAGTGCAGGCCACATAAAAATGTTATGATTGTGGCAGAATGTCTACATACTTGATAGTATTTCACATTTTTCAAGAATTAATATAATCCAAAGAAGGCCCATCACTGTGGGAACCCAGAGCAGTAAAGCTGTGATCTCTAAGCATTGTCTGATGAAATTAAAACGAATTTGGTCCCCAATAGTATAAAAAGTATTAGTTATACCCATTACTATATGCCAAAGGTCATTCATGGAAAAATATTTTAATTATGGTTAATTTGTTGTTCACTCTGGGAATAATGGTGTTTACTTCTTGTTTATCTTAGTAGTATAATGCAAGCTTCTAATTATCCATGACTTCCCCCAGTCCCAGACAGTACTTCTTTATTTTTCCCTTGTGTGCAACATTTTACAACTTTGAAATACTTTAGGAGTATAGGTCGTTCTTAGTTGATCCAATCATTACAGAAACTATGAATGTGTGTCATATCTGAGAACCAAGAAAAAATTTATCAAGTGATAAAAACTAATGCAAGAACAAAAATACATAAAAGGCATAAAAAAACCAATAGCCAGGTTAGTTCCAGTCTTTAATAAGCACAAACATACATTTGCAGAATGTATGTTTTACCCGTGCATACTTTCAATCTATTTAAAAAATAAGTTATGATTTTTTAAAATATAGTAATAGATTTACAACAAAATCCAACAGATACTGCAGTGAGTTCTATATACCCACCCCACCCTCTACCCCAATTCCAGCATACAGTTTTTCTATTATAAGCATCTTATTGTTGTACATTTCTTATAGTGGATCAGCCAGTATTTATACATTGTAATTAACTAAATTCAATAGTCTACATTAAGGTTCACTTTTTGTGTTAGACAATTCTGAGGATTTTGATAAAATTTATAATGACCTGT